CGCTGCCGGCGGCGTCAGGCCACACACCGTCCGCTGATTCCATCCAGCCGGTCCGCAGCCCCGGGCGCCCTCCCCGCCCCGGGACAGGTGCTGTGGCTTTTGCCCTCCGTGAACCCACTCAGGGTGGGCACGCCCGCAGGCCGCGCGGGTGGCCGTGGGTAGAAGGAACGTTTGGGAGGTTGGGCAGACAAGATGTGCGGGTGGCTCCGTGGACACATGTCCGGCTCTGGCCTGTGGCCGGCGGCGCTGTCTCAGCCCTCTTCTGGCTGCTACCCCAAAATGGGGAGGGGGGTTCAGTGGCTTTTCTGGACTTTCGCCGTGTGCACACCCCATCCTTGGATAACCCGGCACTGGGGGAGCTGAGTATCTGCCCAGAACAACCTTGTGTCCCCACCCTACCAGAGTGGGCCCTAAGCCAGTGGCCAGCGGGAGTGGGGGTAGGGAGGGGCTGTGCCCTCCCCTGGTCTCAGCATGCAGAGGGCAGCTGGAGGCGCCCCTGCTGGGTGGGTGCCTCAGCACTCTGTGGGTACTTGTTGCGAACTCAGATTCCCAGGCGTGCCCGCAGTTAGGTTAGGGTTAGAGTGTGGTGGGACAGGGCCAGCGCCCAGGTGTCCAAGTAGACATCAAAGAGGAGACAGGTGGTGAGCACGCCTGCCCTGCCCGTGGGGGCGGACACGTCATGCTGGTCCACGCTGTGTGTGTGTGCGCAAGCACATGCGTGTGCATGTGTGTTCTACAGATGCCAGGTCCCAAGAGACCCTTCGCGTGGGCTGCCCATGGGGCCCTGTTCCCACACTGGAGGGCAGAGCCAAGTCAGCCTCCTCCATGCTCAGGAGAGCAAAGCACTGCTCCATCCGATGGGTAGACCCTGGCAGGGAGGGCACCCGGGCCTAGTGCTGGGAAGTGGCTGCCTCTCGGCATGGAGGGCTAGTCTGGCTGGGGGACTGAAGGAGAGTGCAGGGCTTGTTTTCAGACGGCCAGGCCTGCGCAGGGGTAGCCATCACCTCTTCTTGCTAGTCCTGGGCACAGCGCACTGGCAGGGCCTGCACCAGGGTCTTTGCACTGGGGAGGGGTTTGCCTCTCTGCTCCCCACCCCTTCCAAGGAGCCAAGGCCAGACTCTGCCCAGGGTCCTTGTAGGCCTCCAGGCTCTCGCAGGGGGCGTCTGAGGCCTCCCAGTGGGGTCATGGCACAAGGGAGGGGCTGGGTGGCTTTTGTTTCCAGAGTTGGGGAAATAGCACCAGGAGGGAACCAGTCACCGGCATCTGTGCCCTCTCTACTGGGCACGTCGTCCATCCGGTGTGGAAACTGGGCGTGAGTCTCTGGCTTCCAGAGTCCACCCGGTCCCGTAGGGCCAGCTGGGCTGGGTCAGGAGGCTGGCTTAGCCTCCTGAGGGAGCTCCATGGGGCTGGGGCTGGGGCCTGCAGGGGCAGAGTGTGGAGCTGATGAGAGCCAAGGCCATGGACTGGCACTCACCCGAGCCTCAGAACCTGCTGCCGCCCGTCGGTGGGAACCTCTGGCGGCCTAGCCTCAGCCCTGGAAGGAAGACCCCAGGCCTCAGCTTCCACCCCTACACAGGCGGGCCTGGGGGCAGCGGCCTAGGCTCAGGCATGGAAAGCAGCGCCAGGTGCTGTGGGGCAGGCCCGCCACGTTCTCCCCACCTACCCCAGCCCATCTGTGGGTGGCGGATCACTCTCCCTGTCACCTACGGACCACTTGGTAGCCTCCCACTTTTGGGCTCCAGCCCAGGTGCCCTCCTGTGGGCAGTCTCCAGCTGCTGCCCTCTCCTTGGGAGATGGCCAGGCCCCTGTCCAGACTAAAGCGGGCCTCTGGCATGCAGCCGGTCAGCTGGCAGGACAGAGCTGGGAGGGGTACACGGAGCTGTCCCTTGTGTCCCCAGCCAGCCAGCGCAGGCTGGAGCCCACCGTGCAGTCTCGCTCCCCAAGGGTGAGCAGGGTCCTCCAGCAGAGCCCTGGAGGGGTGGTGACTGCGCGCTGTCCCACAGGGCTGCGATGCCCCAGAGCAGAGCCACCGGGCCCGGCTCCACCAGCAGATCAGCAAGGAGCTGCGCATGCGTGCTGGCGCAGAGAACCTCTACAGGTGAGGGCCAGCCTGGCGGAGGCTGGCGGCCCACGGGGTGGGGGAGGGGCGGGATGCGGGACCTGTCAGCAGGTGGCCATGACATAAGTTCCCACCCAGGCCTGTCAGCCAGTCACACCCTCTCCCAGTCTGGGGCCCTGCCGGCCCCACGCTGGCTCAGAAGCGGCCACATAGGCAAGTGAGCAGGCGGCCCCGGGCTGGGGACCTCAGCTGATCCACACGGACCACATGTCATGGGCTCCAGCCCTCCTGCAGCCTTGTAGCCCCTGCCAGGGGCGGGCTGCGGGCCCCACACTCCCAGCCTGGCCTCCTCAGACCCCCAGTGCAGGTGCAGGGTGGGTCTGGCTCCCCCATGGTCCGGGAGCTGCCTGGGGGGCGCCGGGGGGGCTCCCCACGTGTGTAACACCCAAGGGGCACGGCAGAGGAGGGGTTGGAGAGGGAGAGGAACCCTGGCGTGGTGGGCCCTTCTGGGTGGACTGGAGCCAGGCGCGACAGGCGGCAGCTGCAGGCCTGGGATCCTGCACTTCCCCGGAAGCCGGGGTGCTGACCTCCCCTGGCCTCCCTAGAGCCACCAGCAACAATCAGGTCAGAGAGACGGTGGCCCTGGAGCTGAGCTATGTCAACTCCAACCTGCAACTGCTGAAGGAGGAGCTGGCGGGGCTGGGCAGCAGCACTGATGTGGACCAGCCCGAGGGGTACGGGATCCCTGGTGGTCTGCACGTGGGCTCACGTGGGGAAATACAGCTGGGCGCAGGGGAGGTGGGGCCCAGGGCCCCAGAAGCAGCAGGTCTGAAGCTGACGCTTGTGCTTCTAGTGAAGGGGTCACTGTGCCCATGATCCCCCTGGGCCTGAAGGAGACCAAGGAACTGGACTGGGCCACACCCTTGAAGGTGAGTGCTGGCCTGTGAGCCCCCGAGGCACTTGGCCTGCTCCGGGCCCAGGGGATCCTGGGGGCTGCCCGACCCTGCTAGGTGGGGGCCAGAATGCCCTAGGATTGCCCAGGGCTGGAGCCGCTGACCAGGGACTCCGCGTCCTGTCTGGGCAGCTGCCCCCAGGGTCCTCCATACACCAGGCCCAAAGCCCTTTTCCAGATCTTACACTCAGGGGCCCCAGGTCCTTGGTCCCTCAAGAGCAGCTGGCCTGTTGAGGGCCTGGGCCTTCCCTCCTGGGGCAGGCTGCCAGCACCTGTCCTTCTGTCAGGAGCTGATTTCCCAGCACTTTGGAGAGGATGGCTCCTCCTATGAGGCCGAGATCAGGGAGCTGGAGGACCTGCGGCAGGTGAGTGGGCCTCTCCCTCCCCTGACCCCAGACAAAGGGGGAAGCCTAGGAGGCATCTGGGAGGCGGGCCTACCCACCCACCCGCCCGCCTGCTCGCCACCCCCCCCCCCCCCCCCCCCCCCCCCCCCCCCCCCCCCCCGCCTGCACGTGTGCAGGGAGGGCCGGGCTCATAAGCACTCTGTGCAGGCCACACGGAGCCCCCGCCCGGATGAGGCGGGCCTGGAGCTGCTGGCTGCCTACTACAACCAGCTCTGCTTCCTAGACGCACGCTTCTTCAGCCCCACGAGGGGCCTGGGGCTGCTCTTCCACTGGTAGGGCTGGTGGCCTGGCTGCCCGGGAGGGGAGGCCCTGTCCACAGGTATGGTGCCAGCCTGACCCGCCCCACAGGTATGATTCCCTCACAGGGGTTCCGGCCCAGCAGCGGGCCCTGGCCTTTGAGAAAGGCAGCGTGCTGTTCAACATCGGCGCCCTCCACACGCAGATCGGGGCGCGCCAGGACCGCTCCTGCACAGAGGGCGCCAAGTCTGCCATGGAGGCCTTCCAGAAGGCTGCTGGTGAGGGCAGAGCCGGGGCGGGTGGGGATCAGAGGGCAGCCCTGGCCCCCCGAGAGGCTCTGCTGGTGACAGCACCCACCCATCCCCAGGGGCCTTCCGACTCCTGAGGGAGAACTTCTCCCATGCGCCCAGCCCAGACATGAGCGCCCCCTCCCTCTCCACGCTGGAGCAGCTGATGGCTGCCCAGGCCCAGGAGTGCGTCTTCCAGGGCCTCTCTTTGCCAGGCCCCACGGCTCCACGGGACGGCCGGGCCCAGCTGCGCCTGGCTCAGGAGGCTGCCCAGGTAAGGGCTAGAAGCCCTGCTCAGGACCGCGAGTGGGGACCGGGCCTCAAGGGAACAGAGCTCCCGGGACTCGGGGGAGCCAGGGAGGCAGAGGAGCTGGGCCCGCCCTCTGCACTCTGTGTCCACCCCCAGCTCTTCCTGTTCACGAGACCCTGGGTGTGGACCAGGGGTAGGGTCAGCTGGAGCTGGGGTCCTGACGCCCCAGAGCAGCTAGTCGAGGTCTGTGGCAGTGGGCTCAGCCTAAAGCTGCAGGAGCCGCAGCTGTGTGCCTGGGGCCAGGCCCTCCGTCCTGTGCCCCAGGGCAGAGCCCGGTCCCAGTGTACCCAATGCCCCGGCAGGTGGCTGCGGGGTACAGGCTGGTGTACGGGGCCATGGCGCAGCCTCCCGTCCGAGACTACGTGCCTGCCTCCTGGACCACCCTGGTGTACGTCAAGGCTGAGCACTTCCAGGCCCTGGCCCACTACCACGCGGCCGCGGCCCTCGGCGGCAGCTCCCGTGAGTCCCCTCCCGTCTGCCTGTGTGGCTGGGGAGGCCTGCGCTCCAGGCTCATGGCCTTTGATCCCCAGCAGCTGCAGGGGAGCTCCCTGAGTACGAGCAGGTCTTCCAGCCCCCAGCCCCCTGGGAGTCTCGAGACCCCATGCTGCCCCAGCATCCCGAGGAGCGCAGGAAGCTGGGTGAGGCGTGCTGGGCTGGGCCAGCCACTGCCGGCGCCTGCCCCTGGGCACTGGGCGTTCCCGCGTGGGGGATTCTGCCTGAGCGGGAGCCTGAGAGTGCCGGGGGCAGAGGGGCGCTGGGGGCAGGTGGGGGCAGGGGAGCGCTGGGGGCAGGCGGGGGGCGCTGGGGGCAGGTGGGGGCAGAGGGGCGCTGGGGGCAGTCAGGGGCAAGGGAGGCACTGGCGGCAGGCAGGGACACTGGGGGCAGGCGGGGGGATGCTGGGAGCAGGCGGGGGGGGCGCTGGGGGGAGGGGGGCGCTGGGGGCAGGCGGGGGCGGGGGGGTGCTGGGACAAGTGGGAAGCTGGGAGCAGCTGAGGTACACTGGGGGCAGGCGGGGGGGCTGGGGGACAGCTCTTCCCTGGCCCCTGTGTCTGTTCCTGGAAGAGCCCCCCCCCACCCCAGGCGACCCCCATCCTTCCCCGCGGCCATTCCCCACTCCGGCAGGGCTGGCTAGGCCAGGTGCCACACGTGACCGCCCCATGCCTGTGCAGCCAAGGCCCACCTGAAGCGTGCCATCCTGGGCCAGGAGGAGGCCCTGCGGCTGCACGCGCTGTGTCCCGTCCCTCGCAAGGTGGACCTGCTGCAGGCCGCCGTGGCCTGGGCCCTGAGGCGCTCGCTGGCCAGGTACTCGGAGCTGGAGCGTGAGGACGACTTCTTCGAGGCTGAGGAAGCCCCTGAAATCCAACGTAAGCAGCCGAGCCGGGGGGATGGGGTGGCAGCAGGGTGACAGACTCAGCCACGGCTGTCGCCAAGGCCCGTCCTGCGGACGGCAGCAGCCTGGAAGAGGCAGAGCTACGGACGGCTGAGCCAGAAGCAGAGCCTGGCCACTCGCTGCCCCGCCTCCTTCACTGACTCCTGTCCTGGGGACTTGTGGGAAGACCTTGGGAGCTCCTGGGGCGACGGAGGCCAGTGTGGAGGTGCCCAGGGCGGCTCTGCCTCTCCAGCTGGGGTCCTGGGCCGGGCGGCTCCTGCAAGGGCCAGCATGCACCTGCGGGCGGGGTCAACACTCCTGCGGGGGTCTCTTGAACCGCAGCTTGAGCGATTCCTCCTTTTCTCCTGTCCGGCTAGCTAAGACCCACCAGAAGCCTGAGGTGAGGATGCCTAGTCTGCCCCAGAGGAAGGCAGCAGACATCTTCCACCGTGTGGTGAGCGCGCCTCCCGCCCTGCCTCTGATGGGAGCCAAGCCCAGTAGGGGGGGGGAGAGGGGGGGCGGGATTTGCCCTCCTTCTACTGAGGCGGGGCCAATGGCCAGGGACTGAAGCCCCCGGGCCCAGCCTCAAACCCTTGCCTTTCCCAGGGGCCTTTGTCGGTGTTCTCAGTCAGGAACCGGTGGCGGCTGGCGGGGCCTGTCCACCTGGCCCGTGGGGAGCGCGGCTTCGGCTTCACACTCCGGGGAGACTCGCCCGTGCTCATCGCTGCCGTCACTCCTGGCGGCCAGGCTGCGGTAAGGCGGCCCTGGCCTCTGGGGGGAACCTCCGCACCCGGCCACAGGCTGTTCCACCTCACTGTCCGCGTCCCCGCAGGCGGCCGGCCTGAAGCAGGGGGACTACATCGTGTCTGTGAACGGACAGCCGTGCAAGTGGTGGAAACACTCGGAGGTGGTGGCACAGCTGCAGGGCGGGGGCGAGGCGGGGGTGAGCCTGCAGGTGGTGTCACTGCTGCCCAGCCCTGAATCACGCAGTGGGGTGAGTCCTGGGGGCCCGGGGAGGTAACTCCCAGCCTCCGGTCCTGGCCCTGAGCTCCCCCTGGGTGCCCAAGGCCTTGGGAAGCAGAAGGGGGGGGGGGAGTTGGCCTTCCAGACAGTGGCCACCACCGGCTCTCAGGAAGTCGTCGGGACTGTGTGTCCCTGCATTGGCAGCTTCCAGGCCAGGCTCACCCCAGAGGCCCCCTCATGGGGAGGGGGTGAGCAGCATGGCCGCCAACATCCCCCTCTGCCGCCAGCTCTTCCACCTCCTCCCAGATGGCCACGTGTGGGCCAGGAAGTGGTACCTGGCTGCAACTCTGTGGCCTGCCTGCAGGGGGAGCGCTGGCCAGCTCTTCTGAGGACCCAGAGAGAGGGTGGCCCCGAGACCTCAGTGGCTGCTCACACCGGCGCCGGTCCCCGGCCTCTCCTCGGCTGGAGCCGCAAGGCCAAGCTGGGCAAGACGGGCAGCCTTGGCCCGGCCCGCCCCTGCGAGGACCACCGCACCTGCCCCTGAGCTGGGTCCCGGCATACCGGTCCAGGCCGGCCCAGCGACCCCCTGACTCCCTCCTTCTGTCTGTCCCTCGTGCTGGGAAGGTCAGGTAGTGTCCGCCCCGCCCGCTAAAGACGCTCAGAGGAGGAGCTCTGGGCACACCAGAGCTCACCGAGCACACAGGAGCTCACCGGAACTCACCATGCCCCTGAGGAGGGTGGCAGTGACCCCAGGCTCCCTGGCTCTCCTTGACACTGTTCCACGTAGGCTGATGCTGCCCCTGTGGCAGACCCTGCTGACCCCAGGCCCACCTCCCTGGGCCCCCACCCTGCTGCCATCTTGGCTGTGGCCTGGAGGTCCAGCCCCTCTAGGCAGTGGCTCTCAGCTCTCAGCCCTTTATGGGCCAGGTTTTGCCTGGTGCAGTTCTGCTGGGTGTCCCTCTACCCCCCAGGCCCAGCCTTTCCCCTGCTCCTTGATCCCGGCTCTCAACGCCCTGCAGTCCACCCCAGAGGCTGCCGGCTTCCCGCAGCCCCCCTGCCCTTCCCGCCAGGGGCTGCAGCCCTGCTGAGAGCACGGACCGCTCCTGGAGGCAGGATTGCTGCCTCGGGCCCCGGTGCCGGGCCTGGCCGCCCAAGGAGACAGAGGCTGCTCCCTGCGGCGATGAAGAGCTGGAAATGTAGCCCAACCATAGAGTACTTGTCTGGTCCTGGGTTCAATCCTCCCCATTACAAAGGGAAAGAGAACGAGAGGCTGGCTTGGTTCCTGTGGCCACCAGAGGGCAGCTGCTGTCCACCCACCAGCCCTCAGGCTGCAGAAGCCCGGCTGGGAAGCAGCACAGACCCCTTGTGGTTGGAGACCCTTGCCCTGCGTTCAGTCCTTCTGAGGGTCCCCTGGGGGAGCTGTCCTCCCTGTACCCCAGCTTTCTTTGATGGTCCCGGGCTCATGCCCACCCTGTGCTCATGTCAGCGCTGGAGTCGGGTCCCCTGCGTGTCTCTGGGTGGGGTGTGCGGGGCAGGGCAGGCATGTGCGTCAGGAAGACCCAGGCACAGAAGGGGAGGGGGAGGGGCATCCGGGCCCGCCCCCATCCCCACTGCCCCCCAGGGAGAATCCCCGACTCAGCAGAATGTCCCAAGGTTGCAAAGATCTCCTCCACACGCGCTGGTTAATTTGATTAATAAAACTGTGCATCAGAGAGGCCATTACATGGTAATTAGGGGCGACAGGGTGGGGGCTCCTGTCGGGAAGACGGCAGCCCCTCCCCCACCAAGGGACCGGCAGAAGCTGCCACCTGCCCACAGGGGCGCCCTCCCTGTTCCCGGGGCTCTGTGGTGCCCCCAGTGGGGTGGGCAGGTTGCACGCAGTGTGTGGACCGGCTGGGCCCCATGGCCCCTGGGTGCTGGGGTGGGGGCTCTGGGTGTGTCCCATCCACAGGGCTGGGTGGCATGTGGGGCCCGCCTGGGTCTGTGCCGGGGGTTGTAGAGGTCCTGGACTGGGGGAGCACTGACCTCCTTGCTGCACCTGGGGCAGAGAAGGGGCCCCTGCCCGGTGCCCAGCACCTCCCGATGGCTGAGGACCAGGGCTGGAGCCCCGAGGACCTGGGCCCCGAGGCCTCAGGTCCCGTCAGGCGCGCCCCACCTGGCAGTCTGCAGCCTCCGGGGTGCTCGAGGTCCTCCGTGAACCTGCCTACCCTCCCTGCCCCAGAGCCTCCCCCTGCACAGGGCAGGGGGCCCAGCTGCCAGGAGAGCGTGCCTGGGAGGGCCGTGCCAGGTGGGCGGCAGCTTCCGGGATCCACTGTGGCCAGCTCAGCATCCCGCGTGAGCAGGGCTGCACCCCTCTGGCTCTGTCCCCTCCACCTGAATGCACCCCCATTCCTGGTCATCCTGCTGGCATCTTCTAGATCTTCCGGAGTGGGCCAGGCAGGCCTTGCTGCTTCATGCCCCTAACCCGGCTCTACCCTCACGTTCTGGGCCAGCTGGGTGGCTGTGGCTCTCACAGGGCCGGGGGAGGGGGGCGGGGGCCTGGGACACGCGTTCACCAATGCCTGCTGTGGAGGACGCAGGCTGTGTGTGTGCACACGTGCGGAGTTGAGGTGGGAAGACCGGCTGGCTGGCCGGCCAGCGGGAGGGGCAGCGCGGGGCTGGGGGCGGGCGGGGCGGGGCGGGGAGCCCGGCTCACCTCTCAGGTGTGAGCCCACGCAGCACTTTGTTTTCCGAGCGCCGGGCAGCGCGCCGAGGTGCGTTGCTGAGATGCTTTCTGCTTTGCCAACAGAAAACTGCCGAGAGGGGAAAAGGCAAAACTCCATTTTGCTTGGGTCAGCAGCAAGCGGTGCAGAGATTAATGTGGGGAGAGGGAGCGGGAAGGAGGGGCGGGGAGGGGTGGGGGTTTGGGGTCTACCTGAGGGCGATGGCGCCCAGAGACTCATGGGAATGAGCTCCCACTGAGGAGGGACGGGCAGGGGCAAGGGATGGGGTGAGGGGTGGAGGGACAGGTCTCCCTCCTGGGGTGGGAGGTCATGGGGAGAGGGGAGGGCATCTCAGCTTCTCCATCTGTCCTGGTGGGGGGCCTGGGGGCAGGGCCCGCTGTTGGGGAGCTGCTGGGTTAAGTGGGGAGCCTGGGTGTTGCCGGGAGAGGGACAGGATGAGGGGCTGAGAGGGGGTGTGTGAGGGGCTCCCCGAGCTCTGATTGGGCTTGAGCGAGCAGGGGGGGGGGACGCTGGGCACTGGGCTCCTTGAGCGGGTGGCGCCCATGCTGGGCCCACCCCGCGGAGGGGGTCGCGGGGAGGTGGGGAGCGGCAGGCCTGGGGGGGGCTGCAGGGGGGCTGGCTGGCTCGGGAAGGGTCCCCAGCCCAACTTGGAGAGGGGAGGACCCTGGTCGGCCCGCGCAGGGCTCAGTCTGGGGTGGGGAAAGTTCTCTGGGGCCACTCCATGCCCTGGCAGGCGCCTCCACCCCTCTGGCCCTCCCCCACTGCCCCTACACTGCTCCCTCTTCTAGTGGCTCCCTCTCCTCCTCCCCTGTCCCCAGACCCTCCCCCTCTGTCCCCTCCCCCTTTCCTCTGTCACCCCATCCCCAGGGCTCCCCCTCACCACCTCCACCGCCTAGCTGGTCCTGGAAGAAGGCGGGTCGGGAGGGAGTAGGCCCACTGGACCCTGCCGTCCGAGGACTGGCATGGGCCGAGGGGTCGGCCGGGACTTCTGGGTGCCTCCGTGGCTGGGAGCAGGCTGGGGTCACCTGAAGCCCTGGGGCTGGAGGGGAGGGGGGCAACCTGGGGACAGAAGACAGTCTGGAAAGAGTAGAGGAGGAGGCAGAGCTGGACGGTGAGGAGGCAGCTGTGCCAGGCCCGGGCAGGCCAGGCGCTGCTGAGAGCTAGGGGCTGGGCAGGCCTGGCCGGAGTGAGCAGCCCCTGGCTAGGCCGGGTGAGGGGCAGGGGCAGCCCTTGGGTGGGAGGCCAGACAAGAGGCCTGACAGGTGTCACTCAAGGTTGGCTCCCTGCCCTGAGGAGAGAGGCTTCTGCCTGGTCCCCCCCTCGCCACGTTGCACCGCTATCCTGGGAGCCTGGGCCCTGGGGCTGGGGAGAGGGCTGAGGCAGCCCGGGCCAGGAGGACGTGCTGGGCGTCCACCCTGGGGTGACCCGGCCCCACACCATGCATAATGCAGTATTTACCTGGGAGGTGATTGGCAGGGAGGCCGAGACGGTGAGCCAGACGTGCATTAAGGCGGGAGTGACTTATCGAGCTGTCAGGGGGAGCGTTTTAAGACAGAATTATGGGGGAGAGGAAAAAGATTTTTACCAAATTAATGAAAAATCAATCTGGCCTCAAAAATCCATTAGCCTTCATAATGCACGGGTTCCAGGCTGAGCCGTACAATCCGATATTGGCTGTTAAATACCACCACCCCTGCCCCCTCCCGCCCACCATTCATTACACCGCGGTGCTTACTGCTGAGAGACACCTGCCCGGCCTCCAGCCTAGGGTACAGCTCCGGGAGCCCGGGGCCAGCAGCTCCCTGCTGCGAAGCCCAGTGGGGAGCTCCGGCGGGCAGCCAGCGCCATGCTGCCCGGTGGAGCAGCCCAGGTGGGTGGCTGTGATGAGCGCCGCCATGTGGGAGGTGCCCAGGATGCTGCTGGGCACAGGGGGGGGCGAGCTGCCCACAGCTGGGAGGCGTGGGGACAGCGTCCTGGCCAAACATGAAGGTGGCCGCAGGACGGCCAAGTGCCCTGAGGAAGTGGACAGCTGTCCCAGAGAAGATGGCTCCCTAGAACTGGACAGGAGCGAAGGCCTCGGCTACTTGCCCCTCGCCCTCGTTCATAGAGGCAACCCCCCCCCCCAGCTGCTTGCTGACTAGCCCGGAAAGGAATAGTTGAGCTTGCTCTGTGCCCAGCGTCGGCAGGTACAGGCTGGAGGCTGGATCAATTCCTCATTAAAATGGAAAAAAATTCTTCTCCCTCCCCGGAATCTTGACGGTGGTGTCTGTCACCAGCCACCCTCAGCCTCCTGGAAGGAGGCCCAGCCCACCCCTCCCCTGCCCC